TTGCTGTGCCCCCAGCAGCCCCTCCTCCCACAAAATCGCCCACAGTGACACATTCCCCTGACAGCAAATGATGACGCAGACAGTCCTACAGAATAGCTGTTCCCAGAGCCCACCCCTCCCCCGCAAAGAGCAGGCCCTGGGGTGGTCAGAATGCACTTGGGAAAGGGGGGTCAGAGCATGGCTTCCTTGGGGGTCAGACTAACAGCCTCACACACATGACTGCCACGGGGCAGGGGCCTCCTGGGGTGCAGTGGCAGGTGTAGGTTCAGGTGCAGTAGAACGTCAGCAGCACTCACGTCCCAGGAGAGGGACAGGGAGCAGCTTTACTGGGCAACCGTGATGGAGGCCCTGCTGAGCGCCCCTCATGGCTCTGCGCAGTCAGTCCCTGCAGAGGCCCCGACTGTCCTCTGAGTGGGCTTGATGGATGGAGGAGGAGACGAGAAGAGGCTGGGGAGCAGGATCACTTAGTGAGGTCAGCCCTGGGCAAGGGCAGAGAGTGAGGCTCGCGCGCCAAAGATCTGCTTTCCAGAAGGTTCCACCTGGAGTGCCAGGCCCCTTCTCCACAGGGCAGACACCAGCCAGAGATTTCTCCTGCCCCGCGAGCTCTGGAAGCAGCAGCGGCTGCGCACAGACATCTGATGGCGTGGCGTCTGCCCAGGCCAGCGCTGCCCGGCCAGGCGCACAGGCAGGCTCTGGAATCTGTCCCTGGGCCGACTGGCCTGGAGGCCTCTGAGGTCTCAAGTTCTCCGTCACCCACTGCTAACCTGTACAAGACCCAGTGGGGAAGCCACCGACTTGCAGCTCAGAACAGAACGTACTGTGGCCTGGCTGGCCATCCGTCACCTTACCCCGGGTTCCAGAAGGTGCAATGTTCCCATAACATAATCATTTAGTAGAAACCAAGCGTTCTAGCCCTTACTTTTTCTGTCCTAGCCTATTTATTTGAAGTAATTTGCAGATGTGAAAAAAATAATAATGAGTGTTAGGACAAAGAATGCTTGTAGGAAGAAGTGCTTTTTCAATCGTTGCCCTGCAGAAAAAGACAAAGACCTTTTGGATCCTAGGGCTTTGAAAAAGGATGGTCTCCTATTGTTTTTTGATTTTTTTTTGAGAGAGAGAGAGATAAGGGAGAGGGAGAAACATCAATGTGAGAGTGAAGCATCAATCAGCTGCCTCCTGCATACCCGCTACCGGGGATCCGCAACCCAGGCATGTGCCCTGAGCAGGGATCACACCCGGAACCTTCAGTGCACGGGATGATGCCCAACCGACTGAGCCACCTGGCCAGGGCGTCTCCCTGCGTTTTTATGGGACAGATGTCAGCCTCCCTGGGAAGGAACAGAAGCAAAGATCTAGGGCAGAAAGCGCCTGGATGTTGCTCAGCGTGTGGCTGATGGTGGCAGGGGCAGAGGAAGACAGGAGGCAGGCGCACACTGGGGACCGCCAGGCTGTCCGGGAGAGTGCAGCCTAGGGCGGAAGGAACGGAGACGAGCCCGTTTGGTTTCCAGGGCTCACCATTTTAAAGGCAAAGCATCAGGCATGCTTGAAAGCTCTCACAGGATGTGGCCACACCTTCCAGACTGGGGCTCCAGTCCTTCCCAGGGCACCTTCGCCCTCTCTGAGAGGCTGGAGCAGACCCTCTCCTCTCACTCAGCCTGGGCCGTCCGCATTGGTAAGCAGCCCTGTGAGCTACTTAAATGCTGAGGAGTCTAGCGAGACAGAGATTGGGCCTCACAATAGATGGCCGTGGAAATGTGTGTCCGTGCACACGTGTACGCATGTGTGTGTGTGTGTGTGCGTGTGTGCGCGCACACAGGTGCACGAGTACATGTGTGTGCCATGTGTCTTTGTGTTGGAGGAAGCTGCTAAGGGAACAGTTATTGTGGGACCATAGGAAACTGGAACCCTCTAACCGAGCAACTTCAAGAGCCCAGTGGCTCAACCCTTTGTCTGTAAGTGGAAAGGCCCGGCTCTGGCCAGCTCCGGGAGGCACTGAGTCACTTAGCGGGGCCACCAGCACCAACGCCAACTCAGGTTCAGAGTCAGTGGTCACTGTGAGAGGTCAGAGTTCACTAAAATAAGGGCATTAATGCTCAAGGGGTACCGAGGGTCATAGCTGGGAAGTAGTCAGGGGCCAGGAATTCAAAATGTGGCCCCTGTCCTCACCCAGAGCTCTGGCCCAGCCCGAAGTGATCCAGGGGCCGGGGCAACTCTGTCTCAGAGTATAGCTGGGACCCCTCTCTCTTCCTAACAGCCCCTCCACAGGGTTCACTCAGTCCTCCCGCCAGGGGTCAGGTTGTGGGTCGCTGTGTTTTGGATGACAGTGGAAACTCCTGTTCTGAGTAACTTCAGAGTTAGCCCCGTGCTGTGGGCATAGGGCCTGTGCGCCACGCGGGGGCGGGCACAGGGTGCTCCCTGAACCAGCAGCAGCAGCCCTGCCCCAGACTCCGAGTCTGCACAGACCCAGAGGATGGGCAGGCACTTCGAGATAATGGGGGCTGTGCCCCCAGGGCCAAGGAGAAAGGCCAGCCAGAGCTGAGGGAACAGGCAAGTGGCCCTGGAGTGCGCCTACCTCCTCTCAGGGTGGCCTGGCCTTCCTCCTTGGGGACATGCTCCCCCGTAGCCCCAGTGCCGCCCACACACCCCAGACCTGCTCCCACTCCCTTGGCTCCCTCCTGAGGTCTGTCCTTGGCCACACTGGGTGGGTGTCCTGTGCTTGGATGGACAGTGCCTGGAGCCACTCCCTGCTGGTGGCCTGAGCCTTGGGGCCTGGCTTTTCAAGCTTAGGGTTTAGTGGCGGACCTCCTGTCAGTAAAGTGTAGCGCTCAGGAGCGGCTGCCCAAAGTCCCCGGTCCTGTTCTCTTGCAAAAAAAGGAACAAGTCCTCTCCTTTAAAAACACACCAGCCACGGGGACTCCGCCAGCTCGCCCGCGGCCTCGGGTGCAGGCGTGGTTCCAGGGCGTTTGACGCCTTTGTCCCCTGGTCCTCACACCCGCTGACGGGCAGGTCCTCCCGTGCAGGTGGGTTCACGAGTCGCAAGGCCAGTGAGCAGGGGGTTCCTCCTGCCACAGAAGGAAAGCTCCTGCCGCAGGTCCCACTGAGGCGGGGACAGGGCCTTGGTGCAGTGGTCCCGGATGTTCTCGGGAGATGGCCTAGGAGGCTGGATAGGGTGGGGACAGCTCTGCCCGATGCCCGGGAGCCCCAGCGTGGGTCGGCCTTCGTGCCTCCCCCTGTGACTGCAGGCTCCCGCTGAGCCTGTAGGGCACCTCCCCAGCCGGAGGCTCCCCGTGGCCCAGGCAGTTTTGCAGAGAAGGGTGGTGGGTGCACCTGCTGGGGAGGGAGTAAGTGGCACCACGTGCCAGCTTCCGCTGCTCTGTTCTGGGTTTGTCACAGCCACAGGCCTTGCTTTGGCCCTGGGAGCAGAGGGACAGGTCCATTGGACTTGCCGGGCGATCTGCCCACAAATGAGCCGGCCCCAGGCCTGCCGAGGCGAGTGGAGAAGGAGGTCACCACAGAGCACGTGGTGGCAGAAGGGAGAGGGAAGAAATGCCAGACTCCCCGGGCGCTCCCGTTGGCCAGTCCGGGGAGAAGCGCACAGGCAGGGCCACAGAGAGAGGGGCAGGAGTCACGTGTTGAAGAATGTCGAGGCCAACTGGTCTGCAAGCCTAGATTACAGATTGAATGGATTAGTTGTTATTTTTGTGGCTCAAACCTAATTCATTGTGACATTACTGTTTTTCTCACTGAGCAGGACAGACCTGTGAGTGGGCAGAGGAAGCCCAGGCTGGTCTGAAACCCGTCCCCAGCCCCCGGCCCCCGGCTGACTCCCAGGCGAATGAGGGCTCTCCTCGCACGATCCAACCGCCTCCCATCAAGGAACCCACCACCTTCAGTCCAGTGATACGCAGACGGCCCAGATGTTTCCCAGAGGAGACTTTCCTTTCAGAAATTCAAAACCATAAGCTCAGTGAGGAGCGTCTGAAGGGAGCCGGGTGAAGGCTGGGGGCCCAGGGAAGTCGGGGCCACAGGATTTGCTTCTGGGGAGCAGGTCTGCTGGGGAAGGCTGGATCGGGGAGACACTGAGACCACAGATGTGAGGCAGGGAGCGCTGGGGCCCAGTAACTGGGGCAGGTGGCTGGGGCCTGGCGCACCGCCTGGGACCCTCAGGTGCCAGTAAAGGATGCGGGGACAACGACAGGCCTCATGGCGAAGGGCTGGACTAAGCCACGCACTGAGCTGAGGAGGGGATGTGTCTGTGGTGAAATCGTCTCAGCAGTTTTGATTCTGCGAAAGTCCTTTCAGAAGCCTGTGCTCGCTTGGCCCGCGTGGCTCCATGGTTGAGCGTCGACTTGTGAACCAGGAGGTCACAATTCAATTCCCAGACGGGCACCTGCCTGGGTTGCAGGCTCCATCCCAGTGTGGGGAGTGCAGGAGGCAGGCGATGGATGATTCTCCCTCATCATTGATGTTTCTCTCTCTCTCTCTCCCTCGCCCTTCCTCTCTGAAGTCAATACAAATATAAAATTTTAAAAGCCGTTCCTAGCAGAGAGCAGCAGCCATGCTTCCCGCCCACTATAGCCCCTTTGGTATCTGACATCTTTCCCTCAGAGTGGATTATATCAGCTACATTCCCACCAAGGGACTCGCCAGCTCGACCTGATTCAGCAGCGTGAGTCCCAGCCGCTCTCCGAAGGCAGCCCCGCACCCCAGGACTGCCTCCCGTGCCACGTACAGGCCTGCCGGTCCGGTCAGCCAGCAGAATGCGGTGAGCATGGGCTGCCTGTCTGGGTGTTGGGGGTGCAGGGAGGGAGAGCTGTCAGGCGCCTCAGCACCCCGCACTCTGGCTGAGTCCAGCCCCTGCCATGCCCTCCAGGGCACCGTCGCCCAAGAGGACTGCAGAGCCCAGGCCAGCCAATCCCGAGAGAAGGGGAACACCCCGCCAGGCTGGGGATGCTTTGTTCTTCAGGGGAACTGTGGCAAGTGCCTAAGTCCCTCAAGAAGCCGAGGGCTCGCTGGCCTTACATTCACTTCAACGCTTGCTGCCAGGTCTGCCCGGGCCCTAGGAGTCTCAACACACTGGGACCCTCAGAAGCCAACTTGCCCTCCAGTAGCACCGGCATCCCCCCCGATCCTTCTCGTCTGTCCTCAGTGAGTGCCTGTCATTCCCTCACCATGAGGCCCGTCTCACTTCTGCACAGGACGCGCTGCCGTTTCCACCTTCTTGCAACAGAGACAAGACCCTCCCGTGCACGGCCCGTATCAGCGCTTCTCACTGCTGCGCCCTCCTCCCCCGTCCTTCTGGAAGTTAGTGCTTCTCACTATTTGTCTTTCTATTGATTTAAAAAAAAAATTGGTCTTGCTTCTCGTAAAACGCAAGGTCTTCAAATTGTCCAGCATCTGTATTCCATCACCAGGCGGGCACTCGGCAAATATGCCAGATGGTGATGATGATGGTGATGAAGATGACAATGAAAGGGCAGATTCTACCCCAACTCCTACAACACGTATCAAACCAATGTTCCTGCTCAGATGGCTCTGCTTCTCTCCTTGCAGGAAGCATCTGAAGTGCAGTCCTTAGAGAGTATATGGCAGAAAGCAAGCTCGATGTGCCTACGTGCTCCGAAGAACATGGCATTCTTCCACCCAGTCCATGATGGAGTGAGCTGCCCCAGGCCTCCCGCTGGATTTAAAGTAGACACTCTGTCCCTCTCCATGAGGAAGGCTCGAGCTTGTCAAAAGGTCTAGGTGATATGTAAGAAGAGCCTTGAGAAGGGAGGAGACTTGTGGGGAAGGGGAGGAGACACCCCCTCCCTCTGACTGGAGCAATGCAGGGCAGAGGAAGCAACCAGATCTATTGGTCCAAACGGAAAGCGGGTAACATGAGGATGCTGGGATACTGGTATCAGCCAGCACTGTGAAAAGTGGGGTAGCAATAGTGGGCAGACAGGAAGCCTATGGCCAGCACAGAGGGGGTTGGAGAGCCTATATCTTAAAAGAGGAAAGCCTGCACCAATGGTGTGGAGGAGAGAGGCAGGTATGGAGGGAGGAGAGAGGCAGGTATGGAGGGAGGAGAGAGGCAGTATGGAGAGACAGGTGCAGAAGAGAGAAACAGCTGTGGAAGACAGATGTGAAGGAGAGACAGGTGTGGGGGAGAGACAGCTGAGGAGAGGCAGGTGTGAGGAGTGCCATGTGGAGGAATAAACAGGTGTGGGGGAGAGAGGTGTTTCTGCAGCAGGAAGGGCAGGCCAACCCTAAGGGCACTCCTGGTGGCTGGAGACTAGAGAGGGAGCACCAGGTCCAGCCCAGGCCTCACCAAGCACCGGACCTGCAGGGGTCAGAGGTCAGAGGGTGGGATGGCCCCTTGCCCTGGAATGAGGTACTTGGTGAGGGCTTCTTCTCCATCAACATAATCAGGATTCTGAGCAGGGGCTTCGCATGGCCGGATGCGCTGAGGCCCAGGGGTGTGCAGGCCACATGAAGGGAGCACAGCTGGTCCTGGCCTTGACCTGCAGGAGGACTGCAAGCCCGAGCTCTGAGGCTGCGCTGGGCTCCCCAAACCTCGACCAAGCCACACAGAGGGTCTGACAACTGAGGGCCAGCGGCCCCATTCCCTGGCTTTATCTTGTCATTCTTTTGGCCCCAACAAAACCAGAACGTGAGCGCTTGGCTGCAATCCAAGGGCAGAGCATGAGTGCACAATGGTCTCGGTGAGCCTCCAGGCTCTGCCTGACCCCCAGCAGCGTCCTCCTTCCTGGGGTGTTTTAGCACCAGCTCCCTCGGGCCCGGCACTCCAGGAATGGCTTCGCCGCTGGGATCAGTCTGGGGACGTGGATCTTGCCGAGAAGGAAGAGGCTCCTCCAGTCTGCTTCGTCTTTCCATTTTGCTTTTGATTGCTGTGTGGATGTGGGTGCTTAGAATTCTACTTGTCTGCACTTCATCAAAATGAAAAACAATTTAAAGTCATCCTCCTGCAATATTCCCACCCAGGAAGATCGGATTAAGTGAGTGTCACCCGAGCCCCCGTCACAGAGGCAGGGACAGCTGCAGAGACCACGTCAAAAGGCTGACTCAGTTCGCGCACCTCACTGGGAAGCCGAGGCTCAGACTGCCCCGAGCAGCCCCTGACCTGAAGCTGGGAGTCAGGACCTGGGTGCCCTTGAGGGAGGAAGTGAAAGCACATCAGGCGCCTGGTTCGAGAGAATGAGATGGTAGTGGTTGTAGGACCAGGGCCCACTTTGGGGGAAAAGGAAAAAGCTTCTACACCCTTTTAACGATGTCCCCATAACTGACTGCTCCCCCAGCCGCAGCTCTCAGACCGCCAGAGACACGCTTTCCTGCGTTTCACTGATCTGCTGCCCTCGAATCAGAGGCTGGGAGAGGCAGGTGTGTTTCCTCGGTAACAGGAAGCCACGAGCAGCCACGAGAAAAGGGCTTGGCTTTGACTAAAGTACTTCACTACCAGGTCTCAGGCGTCAGCGGCAGGTTGACCCCGTTCCAACCCCGTTTTCCCAGGCACATCCTCCCGGTCCTTTTTTCCTTCTGAGAATTCCGGGCCCTCTGGCCACTGCCGGCGCACTACCAGGTCTCAGGCGTCAGCGGCAGGTTGACCCCGTTCCAACCCCATTTTCCCAGGCACATCCTCCTGATCCTTTTTCCCTCTGAGAATTCCGGGCCCTCTGGCCACTGCCGGCATCTGCACGCAGCGGCTTCAGTGGCCGGCTCCCTGGGAGAGGGACCAAGGGCCAGTTGCTAAAGGCTTGAAGACCTGAGTGATAGGTGAGAGCTCTTCTGTCCTTCATAACAAGCCCCTTCAGACTATTACTGAGTTTATGCTAATGAGATGACTTTTGGGGGACCCCTAAAAAGCTGCAGGACTGGGGCTGGTCCCCAGAAGAACAACCATGGGATTAGATGGTTAAAACTTTCAGCCCCAACCCCAACCTCCAGGGAGGGAAGAGGGGATGTAGACAGAGCTGTGTCCGATGGCAAAGATCTCATCCATCGTGGCGAAGTCCTGGAGCCTCCAGAACAACCTCCAACCACTCGAGAGCTTCTGGTGGTGAACACATCGCAGAGCTGGGAGGGTGACACCCAGACACGGCATGGAAACTCCGGCCCCTCCCCATGCTTTGCCCTGTGCGTCTGGGTTGCAGGCTCCATCCCCAACCCCAGTTGGGGCATGTGCAGGAGGCTACCAACTGATGTGTCTCTCTCAAATCAATGTTTCTCTCTGTGTGTCCTTCCTCCCTTCCATTCTCTCTAAAAAAAAATCAATGGAAAATATAACCTTGGGTGAGAATTAACAACAACAACAAAACTACAATGAGATACCACCCCAGGCCTGCTAGAATAGCTATTATCAACAAGACAGGTAATAACACATGTTAGAGAAGTTATGGTGAACAGAGAACCCTCATTCAGTGCTGTAGGGATGTAGACTGGTACAGCCACTATGGAAAGCAGTTTGTTGGTTCCTCAAAAAATTAAGAACAGAGTTATCTCGAGGTGTGCTGCAGCAGCCCCTCTTCCGGTTATCTACATGAAAAACTCAAAGACATGTATTGGCAAAGTCATATGCACCCCTGTGTTCACTGCAGCATCATTCTCTGTGGCCAAGACATGGAGACAACCAAGTGCCCTGCGATAGAGGCTGGATAAAGAAGATGTGGTCCATGTGCACCGTGGAATGCTACTCAGCCATAAGAAAGGAAGAAATAACTCCATTTGCAACAACATGGATGGACCTTGAAAATATTATACTTAGTGAAGTAAGTCAGTCAGTAAAAGCTAAGAACTATATGATTTCACTCTGCCGGGCAATTGGCGGGGCGAATGGGCCCCGGCTTGCACCCGCCTTGGCCTGTCACCACTAAACGTTTTGGGGAAGAAACAGATGGTCACAGCCCGAGAAGGTTGGACTGGAGAGAAACCAGAAGAACGGAAACCAATGGGGAGGGAGAGAAGCAGAGGGCAGTGAGAATGCCGCCATGGCCTGCAATGCCCGCCTGTTAGGTGGTCTGTGGGTTCTCATAGCATTACCTGGCCGTGTGGGAGAACGGTGCTGCTGTGTCCCCATCTCACTTCTTCCTGGCGGAGTGCTCTGGGCAGGGGAGTGAGTGCCCAAGGCTGCAGCCCTGGCCCCGCACAGCATGTCAGACCCCCTGGGCTCCTCCTCTGCTGGAGCCCCTCCTGGGAAATGCCCAGACAGTAAATGTCCACGGAACGAATGAAAGCAGCAATGAGGAAATGAATGAATGAATGAACGAACGAACGAATGAACCATCCACCTCTCCCACCCCCAAGCCCAGGCCCAGGGCTGTGCTTTCCTCCCCAGCCCAGCTCCCTCGGGCTCTGAAGACCTTTGCTGCAGTTGGGTGGAATCGGGCATCGCTGGGTGTTTCCAGCAGCCACTTGCTCCCAGAATCCAGACTGCAGCCAGCAGCCCTCACCCTTCACTGACGGCAGGTGGCCACAGCCTCCTCCATGCCTGGGACTCAGGCACTCGTTAATTGCACACTTTACTTGCCGAAAGAAGTAAATTGTCCAGCATTATTTTTCTGTAAGTTAAAGAAGGAAAGTTTGACCTACACTAAAAAACGGGGCTGCTGACAGAGACCCAGTATTACTTTGTCCCAGCACAGGATCGAAGGCGTGTCAGGGCTGTGGGCATCCTGCAGGCCCCAGTGGTCTCGCCTGCCAGCTCCACCTCCCTCCTCGCAGCTCAGCTGCACCAGGCGGGCCTGCCTCACTGCCCCCACTTAAGTAATAAAGTCTCCTCTGTGCTGAGGAAGGAGATTCCCTTTTGCCCTTTGGGGGACACACCCCCATGAGGAATGCAGGGTCTGACCAGCTGTTTGTAACAGTGTTGCATGTGTTTAAGTATGTGCACCGCAGGGGAGAAGGAGAGAGGGAGACCCCAAAATGTGGTAGCCTTTCTTTCACTTCTGTTCTACAAAATGAATAAACGGATACAAACAAATGAATGTCTGCAACGAATGCACACAACTTGGATAAACTTACAAAGTTATCTAATGAAAGTAGCCTTCCTCCCACTGTCAGCGGCTGGGCTGGAGCTGGGATGTGGCAGCAGGTAAAGTGCTGGGCCCTGGACCCAGACAGGGTCCCGAACTCGCATCCGCTTCCGGTCTGTGATCGTCAGCAGACGCCTTCAGTCACTTTTAAGTATCGTGGTCATTCATGTTAGTTCGCAGAGGACTGTGCCCAGCAGCCCACACGCTCGACTCAACATACATGTGATAATTAGTTCGTGTGTGCATGACCACTTCAGGTTGTCAAAGTATGAATGCAGTCATGTATTTTTAAGCACTGTGCATTTGTGTACATGTCCTCCAAGGCATTTCATTCTAATAGCATTCAACACCCATTCATACAGAACATGGAAGCACAACCTTTGGGGCTGGCACTGTGTCCCAACATGCACTTTCTCCCCCCCCCCCCCCCCCCCCCCCCCGCACATTCTCCTAGCCCTGGGGCTCCATGGGGTGGCCTTGCTGTAAATTGTAATCTGCGAAGCGTTTCTTAAGGGCTGTCAACTGAACCAGGGTCGCTTGGCCAGCGGGAAGGTCTGCCCGCCTGCTCGGGGCAATGCCCTGCTAAATACACGGGTGGAAGGGTCCACTTGCAGGACTTACGCCCCACAGGTGTCTTCGACAGCTTGCTGTGGGAATGGCCACCTCAAAGGTTCTGCCTCAGCCAGGGAAACTTGGGGTTTTAAGCAGCTGAATTATTCATTGGGCTTTTATCTTCTAGAAGGAGAAAGGTTTTTAAGAGCTGATAAATGTGAAACATGATGCTTTCATTCCGGGAAGAATAAGCTCATATAGTCCTGTTGCAGTGCGAATGCTTCCAGGATTTGGAGAAAATGTAAAAAGCGGCACCAACAAGGCAGAACAGCCACCTGGAACCGCTGCTAACAGTAGTTCTTCTCCTTTTTAGAAAAACAGCACCCGCCCCGCCCAGGAGGCTCGGTGGCCCCAGCACTGTTACCAGCACGCGAGTCAGGAGAGGTCAACCAACCCACACCTGCCTAATAAGAAAGGTTCGCTTGGGACATTTCCCCCTGGGTCCTTCTAAGCAAGCCTTTGCTGAAAAGATTTAAATTCTTTCTTCCACGTCTCTCCATGGAGCTGAGCCGCAGCAGCCCTGTGCTGTGGGCAGAGAACTCGGAAGAGTAGACAGCAGATGAGACTTGCTCACACCTGCTTGTATAGACGATGCCTTCCCATTTTTGCTCAGATCTTTTTCTGTCACAGCCACGACAAAACGATGACTCATGCTTAAATGCAGCCATCATGTCATACTGATTGCTAATACCTTGGTGACAATGCTGGGCCGTTCCTTTAAGAGGAAAAGGTTCCTGGGAGCTGTCTGCCGCCAACCTCAGGGACCACAAAGGGCTGCTTCCTGGGCACAAGGCAAAGCTCATTGTGTAGGAAGGCTGCCTGCCCTTGCAAGCTGTTCAGATAAGCAGGGGGAAGGGGGGGGGGGAGAAGGGGGAGGGGAGAGCGAGGCTGCTGTTATCAGCTGGGATGGCCAGCTTTTAGCTGTGGCACTGATGTCTTATCTCAAGTATGCTCCCATCTTGCAAATTTAAAAATCTTCCTAAAAGGAGAAAAACAGGAGCTGGTCTCAAGTCCTGCCCTAACTCTGGGCAGCCTCCCCTCCTCCACTTCCCGCTCCCTGGGGGCCTGTAACTCAGCCCAGACAGGAGGACAGAACAGGTGCCTCCAGCTCCATGAGCTGCGGCAATATCTGCGCCTGCAGACCATCTCCCCCTCGGGAAGGACCCCCTGCCCTCAATAAAGAGAGTAAGTTTGTTTCAGTAAGTTTATTGTAAAAGTCAAAGCTGCAGCAGCATAATCCTTTAGAAAATGAAGCATCGCCCGGATCCCTTTTGAAACAGCAGTGCAGACTGCTAGGTCGGTCAGAGCTCCAGTAGCTGTGCAAGTCCAGGCCGCCTGGCCTCGCCTTTCCCCTGCTTCCTGCCCACGGCGCAGGCTGCTGAGTCACGCCTGCCCGGCCAGTCCGTCCTTCGTCCTTCCCAGCACCGCGGCCAACGTCTGGCCTTCGGGGGCGAGCACCGGCTCCCCACACTTGTAGAGTCCTTGGGTCTGG